AAAAAAAATGTGCGAAAAAACATTGTTCATTAGGTTAAAAAAAAAAGCTTCAAATGAAAATAAAAAGGTTTTATTTTTCATTCCAAAATAAAAGTTTAGAGATAATTCAGTTTATGAATTCACAGTTGGAGTGGACATGCTCTGAGTGTGGCTTATCTGTGAGATGAGGTTCCCAGCTGCTGATAATTATGCTGAAGGTGCTCTCTGTCATGACTTCACCCATTTGAGAGGTCCATAAGCATCTTTTCAGGACAAACTCATCTATACACCTGTGCTTAATACAAGTAAAACAGAAAAGACCATTACTAATCACAAATGTGGTTGTTTCTCTGTTGGTGTAGTGTTCAATGCAGATTAAATAGTGTAACTCATATATATATATATCTATATCTATATATCTATATACTCCAGGTGAGTGGAGTGAGCAAAAACTGTAACTATGAAGACTGTCGAGAAGTCTAGTGACCAGATAACACTGGCGCGGCAGCGTCTGGTAAACTGATAGTGTGGTTAGCTGGCAAAGAGAAGTTGAGAGCGCTGGCCTTATAAGTCAACAGCTTAATTACCCACAGGTGAGAGCAATGAGCAGGAACACGGTGGCTCCTCCCAGCTCTGTGGACAAACACTGGCATTCACCCAGACCATGACAGAATTTGTTTCCCCTGCATCAGAAGCGTGCACTGGGCTGTCCAAATGACAGACAAACAGTATCCCACATTTTTAGTTCACAAACACTTCTTACAATCACTTATTACTCCTGAAATTTTGGAAGTTTTATCCTTTTTATACAGTAAAGTTACAGGACGATACAAATGATTATCAGGCAAAATGCTTTGAAGTAATCTCGTCCAATAACACATGAGGACAACAAGTGTATTTTCTGTTAATGTCACTACACTGATCTTAAAAACCGTTTGGTTTTTGATCTTAAAACATCACTCCTTCAAAATACAGTTGATTGGAATGGAGGCAGCGTCAACTGGATCCACCCTCTCTGCCCAGCGCGTGCTCCCAATGCAGGAGAAACAAATTCTTTAGGATTTAACTACCTTGGCACAACACCAGCGTTTTAAATGCTCCTGCAGTAGTGCTGTCACGGAAGAAAGCTCCACTTTGAACAGTCTACATTCAGCTTGGTTTTCTGTGAAATGCTTTCACATTTTTTGAAATCACCATTTGCATTCTCTTTTGTCCTTCTGTTTATAGTACGTTCTTCTTCGTTAGTACTGAGTGCAGTCTTGGCACACGATATAGGCGATACTCCCCCCGTTGCTTCCTGTAGTGAATTGTGGTACCAAAAACACATTTACGTAGTATTAGTAGATGACGGATTGAAAATAAAATTCTTCGTTGACAAATTTTTATAGACAACATCATTGATTATGTTCGTTATCGTTGCAGCCCTAGTCACAAGCTCCACGTAGTGACTGAAACAATGAGGTTGTGAATACAAGCAGCAGAAATTAGTTTCCTTCCAAGGGTGGCTGGGCTCTTCCTTAGAGATGGTGTTTGTAGCCTGGCCTTTTGAAAGGGACTCAGAGTATAGCTGCTGCTTCTCCACATCGAAAGGAGCCAGTTGAGGTCATTCAGGCATTTGACAAATATGCCTCCTGGACACCTCCCAGGTGCTCTCAGCTGGTTTGGGAACAATTCAGTGTCTCCCAAGATGAGCTGGAGGAGGAGGCTGGGGTGAGGGAAGTCTGGAATCGATGATTTGAATCTGTGTCAGTCTTGTAACTGTAAAAGATATTCAATAGAACCTTAATGGAGATTTCCCCCCTATTCATGTCATGGTAATTATTTAGTTATAGATAATAACCAATGTATTTGTGCAGAATGTTGGTTCCATGTGAAATACACTAGTGGTACAGGAGATTCTTTAAGTTTTGCCACTAGGAAGTCAAACTTTCCACTTAATGATACCTCTTAAGATGACAGAGCAGTTTATAGTTGGTGTCTATTTTCTGTGCTAATAATTGAAAATTCAGCATCACAATAACAATTACTTGGTTTTATTGAGCTGAAATTTTTTTTATAACTTTATCAATATTCATTTAAAGGGACGGGCATGATTTTCCAGAGACAAAGGAGCTGGATGGAGATGTCATATTTAAGGTCTGCTGAAAAAAAAATCTATATTCCCTTAATAACAGCTTTTGAAAAAAAAAGTATTTTTAAGATCACGCCTCTCATAGATATGCTGGGATATGCTTTTGTGTAAAAAAAACAATAATAATCATAATCATAATAATCATATATATAACAAAAAAAGTGGATTAAAAAAAAGTTTTTCTATTGCAGCTGGTGGAAACCCATGGCATGGAGATTTTTATGAGTGAAATTGGAAGGTATAAAAAGATGCTCTTTCCACACCTGTCACGCTATTCTACTGAAAGGGAAAAGCCAGATGAAGACAATCCGTCTACTGAAAATACAAAGCAAGACACGAGTGCCAGTGAAGGGGTTTTGAGGATTACATTACATGTCTTAAATGAAATTGGCCAAAAGGAGCTTGCTAACAAACTGGAGAAACGTAAGGACAAATAGTACAGAATTAGTTTTATAGTTTGTTTTTGTGATCTCTTATTGAAAAAATATATCTTTGATGTTTTTTAATAAGCTGTTTGCATTCTTTTTTTTTTCTCTTTACAACCAGATATTTATGGTGAGCTTGATGTCTGCCAGCGCAAACTCAGACAAAAACTGAAAAGGTTTGAATACATTTATGAGGGAACAGTACGGCATAGGGACCAGACTCTTCTCAACAAGGTGTACACTGAGCTCTACATCACAGAAGGACTCAGTGAAACTGTTAACAATGAACATGAGGTCAGGCAGATTGAGGCTGCATCGAGGAGATCAATGACAAAAGATAAGCAAATCAAATGCGAAGACATATTTAATTCTCTTTGTGGATCCCGTAGATTCATCAGAACTGTGCTCACTACAGGCATTGCTGGTATTGGAAAAACTATCTCTGTGCAGAAGTTTAATCTTGAATGGGCAGAAGGAAGAGTTAACCAGGATATTCAGCTCCTTATTAATTTACCATTTCGGGAGCTGAATCTGATGAAGGAGAGAAGATGCACTCTAACAGAACTTCTTCACAATTTTCTCACAGAGGCAAAAGAGTCAGGAATTTCAGATTTTAGCAAATATAAGCTTGTGCTGATATTTGATGGGCTGGATGAGTGCCGGCTTCCTCTTGACTTCAACAACAATGAGCCTCGTTCTTGTGTCTCAGAGCAAGTTCCAGTAGATGTGCTTCTCACAAATCTGTTCAAGGGGAACCTGCTGCCCTCTGCACACATCTGGATTACCACCAGACCCGCAGCTGCACGTCGCATTCCAGTTAACTGTGTTGATCGCGTGACAGAAATACGAGGGTTTAATGATCCACAAAAGGAAGAATATTTCAGGAAAAAAATCTCTGATCAAAACATGGCCAGTCGAGTCATTTCACATGTTCAGTCAACCAGGAGCCTTCATATCATGTGCCATATTCCAGTCTTCAGCTGGATATCTGCCACTGTCCTGCAGAAGATTTTAGAAGAAAAAAGCCACGAGAGTAGAGGAGAAATGCCCAACACACTGACAAAAATGTACACACATTTTCTTGTGCACAACTCATTGATCAAATGTCAGAAGTATTCACTCAGGGGAGAGGTTTGCGAAACCCAATCACAGGTCAAAATGAATGAAGAGAATATCTTGAAGCTTGGAAAACTAGCCTTTGAGCAGCTACTGAAGGGAAACATAATCTTCTATGAGAATGAAATCAGCGAGTACGAAATAAATGTCAGCGACACTGCACTATATTCAGGAGTATTCACAGAGATCTCAAAGAATGATTTTGGAATTCATCTAAAGAGATCATATTGCTTTGTGCACCTCAGCATTCAGGAGTATTTTGCTGCAGTGTATGTTTTCCACACCTTCATTTGCTCTAACCTAAACTTGTTGGAACCAGAAGGATCCCTCACTGTCCGAGAGGCTTCTACTGAAGTAACTGGCCTTCTCCAAAGTGCAGTGGATAAGGCCTTGCAAAGTGAGAATGGTCAGCTTGATCTTTTTCTCCGCTTCCTTCTTGGCCTCTCACAGGAATCAGATCAGTTGAAGAGTATTCTTGCCACAATGAGGAGTACTTTACCAAGTAATGAGGAAGTTATTGAGTACATCAAGGAGAAAATCAGTCAAACTCTTTCCCCAGAAAGATGCATCAATCTCTTCCACTGCCTCAGTGAGCTTAATGACCAGTCTCTTGTAGAGGAGATCCAGAAGTGTCTGAGTTCTGGTAGTTTGTCAGAGATCACACTTTCACCTTCACTTTGGTCTGCTCTGGTTTTTGTGTTGCTGACATCCAAGGATGAGTTGAATGAGTTTGATCTGAGAAAATATTCCAGATCTGAGGAGGGTCTCCAGCGGCTGTTACCGGTGATTAAGGAATCCAAAATAGCTTTGTGAGTAAATTACAACAATACTCTGTAATTTTCATATGACATACAATATTACTTTTAAATGTGACAATTATTATGATGCTAAAAACACAGCTGAAACAAACACACCAGATCAAATTCACTCTCTTCTTCATAGCTAAATAATTAAAAAAATAACACTGTATGTTACTTACTGTAAATTAAGCTTAATATGCTTTACTCAGATTGACAATATGTGGAATCACAGACATTGGCCCTGACTTAATATTTATTTAACAATTTTTTAATACAGTGCTTTAACTTGGCATCATCTACTATTTTATATTGTACAGCAGCCTCTTAACCCTGCAAAATATACTAGCATGTGGTTATTTTTTCTGTTTTTTAAGGCTTAAAGAATGCAACCTTACTGAGAAATGCTGTGAGATGCTTTCCAAAGTTCTATTTAGTTCATGTCTAAAAGAGCTGGACTTGAGTGATAATGACCTGCAAGACAAAGGAGTGAAACTTCTCCTTGATGGACTGGGAAATACTGCATGCCAGCTGGAAAAACTTAGGTTTGTGAAAATATCCTGGTGCAGGATATTTATGCCACACAAATAGCTAAAAGAAACTAACTCTATATGCTTTAAATTTAAATTTCAGTTTGGCATTCTGTGGAATCACTGACTCGGGCTGTGACTCTTTGGCTAAAGCTCTGACCTCCAGCCTCAAACACTTGAAGGAGCTGGACTTG